CCAAAAATGACTTAGATAAGTCAATTTTTTAACAGACAACATAAATGTGTCTTTTCTTTTATGAGTATTGCTTAATTTAGTGGATTGAATTGAAATAATCATATAATTTTAATTGAAATTGATTAATTTTAGTCAATTCAAATAAATAATAAAATTAAAGGGTATAACTATATTTAATTTTTGTAATCTCCTTTAAATGCATACTAATTATTATATTTTTGACCCTTCACCAAGAAACTTAGACCAAGTTAATGTTTATATAACTATATTTAATTTTTGTAATCTCCTTTAAATGCATACTAATTATTATATGTAACAACTCCCTTTGAATTTTCACTATAAAAGGAACCATTATCAAGTACACCAACAAACACCTCTAAATTAATAATTATTTGAGATGGAAAAATCAAAGAATGCTATAATATGCATGATTTTTATCATGTTTGTTTTTTATTCACCATTAATTCATGCTACTCAAGAGCCATTATTTGCACCTCAACCAATAACATTTGAATTATTTTTTCCAAGTCGTAGCACTGCCATGACAAAAACAAGTATGTTTACTATTACAAATTTCATATACAACTTTTAATTTTTTTTTATTTTTTATTGATTGAGATATATATTATTTTATAATTTTTTTTTAAAAAAAAATGTGTATAACATATTTTTTTTCGTGTATTTCAGAAAATTGCTCTCCAACAGTGTGCAAAAAAGGCAAATGTTGTTGTGCTTATTTTTTTCATAGATGTATAATGTGTTGTGGAAGGATGAATTAATATATTTATCTCAACATGTTTAAAAGAGTTTTCTTTTATTATTTTCTTTTTTATATTCATATTTATCTTCTTTTTTTCCATAATATTTGTTACAATTTAAAATGAGATGGTTAATTATGTTGAATTATGCACCTAGTAAGAATGACTTAAAGAATTCTTAATGAACCGCTTAGAAAAATCAACATCAATAATTAATATGAATTCAACAAGTAAAATCCTATAACAATACTAATAATTAACAGGATTTTTTTTTTTTGTAAAAATGTGATCTGAATTTATTGTGGTAATAAATTAAGTTTCTACTCAAAAGATGACATGGTATGATTATATATGTGCAAACAAAAATTCACTAATAAATTAATCAAAGAACAAATATTTTTGACAAAAAATATTGAGCAGAAAGGACCCTAGACCCTTTCTAATAAATTAATCAAAGAACAAATATTTTACATTAAATATTTAATTTAATGTAAAATTTGATTGATGAAGGAACTCTATTAAACAATTTGGTGAAAATTCTAGTCCCCTCGAGAGAACACCTCCATTTTTAATTTGCTAATTTAATTTTAATTTCATATATTTAATAAAATTAAAGTAACGGAGATTTTTAAATTTTATGGTCTTAAAATAAAGAACTTCATCTAATTTTAGAGTCTTGAATATATCATATGAAAAATTAAAATTAAAGAGTGGCTAAAGAATACTTTATATTCAATTTCCTCATTATTATGCATAATCCATCTTATTATGTTTAGACGACTTACGGGTGGTTCGGTACAAATATTGATAATGCATGAATTAGTAACACATAGATTAACAATGCAGAGATTAGCAATGCAAAAATTAGTAATGCTACAATTTTTTTTTAATCGAGTGTTTGATTTACAACTCTACAAAATAAATATTTTATTATACCCTTGCATTATTATGAGTAAAGGTGTACCTGATTCGGTTTGAATCGGTTATTGCTTAAAATCAAAGTCAAATCAATCTAGTCGATTTTTTTAATTTCTAAAATCAAATCAAATGAAAAATACAACCATCGATTTGGCTATTGTCTGTTTGAAAGTAATAAATTTTTTGAGGACATACGTATCTCGATAGACATGAATATTTAATATATGACAGTCCACAAGAAATCTATTATCAGTTCAATTAAGCCTAGAGTTATTATTACACCAGCAAAGATTCAATTAAGAGAAAATATGACTATCTTATGTGAGGTAGGGTAGGTAAAGACTAAAGTAAAATATTTTGATGGACTTGGACCTGTGATTGTAATAGTTGAGCTAAAATTTAAGTGTTGGGCTTGAGAAAATAGTAAAGTTAAGAAATTATGGTAATTAAAATTTAATTAGAATATTTATATTTTATTTACAAATAATATATAAATGATTATAAAACTTATATATATATATATATATATATATATATATCTAATTTTTCAGTTCGATTTAATTACTTTTACTGTTGTTTTTTAGTAAAATCAAATCAAATAGTATTGATTTTCAAATTTTAAAACCAATTCAAATCAACTATTGGTCTTTTTAATCAGGTTGATTCGAATTACGATTCGATTTTATTTTTCAACTATAATCATCAACAACCTTGATAATAAAATTGTTTATATATATATATATATATATATATATATATATATATATATATATTCCTCCATTGTTATAGTTTACATTACCCCATTTTTAAGGCTTAAAGAAACCAAACATCTAGAAGTAAAAATAAAATGGAATTTTTTGTCATGAAAGTGTCATTTATTGTTCGATAAGAGATCAAATAGCTAGTGGTACTTCATGAATTTGAAGAGATCAATTTATTTTTAAAAAAATAATCAAATAAATAAGCTCTAAATAAATGGTGGTTCGGGAATCAAGGAAGAAAATAAATAGAAGAAGAAAGTTTAAAAATGAATATACGGCCAATTGTGTGTGTTTTGCGGATGTAATGATCGAATTTCGTCGTTATAGAAAAGTCAACGAAAAAAATTTTGCGTCGAAATTTTTATATGGTAAGTTGAAATTTCTCAGCCTAATTCAGATTTGGATGAAATCGGAGTCATTGAGGTGTAGAAAAATCTGGTGACGACTGAGTGATTTGATTATGAATTTGATTACATGAGGGATCATAGTGTGAACAATATTTTCTAAGTGTTGTTGATTAGAGGTGTGTTGTGAAATAGGAGTCTTGAAATTAAATAAATAGCTCACTGTTTTGTGCAAGCCGCCTGGATGCTGAATTTTGTCGCTCTAGCAGGGCCGCTGTAGCGTGGTGAGTGTCGTTGTAGCGGGCCAGACACGACTTAAAATCGTAAATGAACCCATAAACATATTTATTATGCACTTTTCGACTTTGAGAGCTAAGGAAAGACCCCATACGACTTCTTGACAGTTTTTCACCATTCTTGGTGTCAAAGGTAAGCTTTTCACTTCCCGAATCCATTTTTCGATCCATAAACCTATTTTCTTGGGTTATTATCAATTAGTGAAGGTTTTTAATTGAAAACCACAGTGGGAAAAGTCCTAGTTAGAATAGTTGAGATCACGCATATGATTTGGAATTGTTAGAATTTTTAGCAATCCGATATTAGTGATTGTTTATTGATTTCTGTATTATATGATTATTTGTAGATCATGAACAAGCTGAACGAATCCGAAAAAGGAAGGATCAAGATTCTTAGGGTTTCAAGCTTGTTTCAAGGTAGGTGATGGTTGTGATTCTATGATTATGTGATATAAGTTTGTTCTTGATTCATTATGATACATGTATGTATGTGAATGTTGCATTATTGATCACACTTGTGATAAATGAGATAGACGAATGACTATATGCCTTGAATCACTTCTTGATTGTATGATCTTGAAAATGTAGTTGTGATTGTGGTGTGTTGAAGGGATTGGTTGTCACGTTCCGGCATAACTGATTAGAATCGATTTCCACGTTCCAACATAACTAACTGGGATCGATTGTCACTTTTCGACATATATAATGAATCGGGTACCATGTTATGGTATGTTTACAATTTAGGTTACATGAGAGGACCAATTACTTGACATAATTGCGATATTTATGAATTGTGAAAATGTATGTTGTTTATACATGTTGATAATATTGTAGATGTTTGGCATGTGCATGCGATTATATTGTTGTGATGACTTATATATGTCGCACTTAGTGAGATAGTGATGTGATCCTACTAGTACACTGTGATTGTGTATGATACTGCACTTGCTTTTATTTTTATTGAGTAGAAGGCATCTTCAGGCCGCTTTTTGACAGACCCCCTTATAATATCAATGATCATTTCGAGTTCACGGGTGAGCTAGTTCTTCCTGGCTGCCTTGAATTTTCTTCTAAGTCTTTGTCCACAATTTCGGACATAGACTAGTTCTTAGATGCTTTTTATATTGGTTGAGTTGTGCCCATTTTCTTTTTTGACTTTGGTTCATTCTTTAGATGTTTTGGTACATTCATGACTTTCTGGTACTAGGCATTACTAAAGCAATGTAGTTTTATTGTTGTACTTTTGTTGGAGTTTATGAGAATTTATTTCTTTCTTTAGTATTTAATTTGCTTTTGTTATTTAAATGTCTTAGTTTTGACTTAGTTGCTTGGTTTGAGTTGTAATAGTGGGTTTCCCACCGGAGAGTTAATGTATGTGTCAATCGCGATGATGTGGAATGTAACAACAGATCAACTTTGATTAAAAAAATTAGGTATTTCATTTCAAAGTGATTTAGAAGGATAATTTGACGGTCAATGAAGTACAAGTGTCTAATTGAATATTGATAATAAGTTAGAGGGTCATTTGTATATTTTGTCACAATAATTTTTCACATCTTTTTTTTCATCTTGAAAAATAATGTTTATGACATGTCAAAATTTATGGCATAAATTTTTTTATTAAAAAAAAACTCCTATCATAATTTTAAAGAAGTAAAAAACAATAAATATTGTTGATGTAAGAATATAATAAAACTAATTGGCATATTAGGGAGAAAATTTCTATTTTTCAAAGTAGAAAGAAAAATTTAATTTTTAAAGTAAAATTAGAGAGTGACAAGATCTTTTTTAGTCAACATGCAAAATTTATTTTAAGGCATTCTAATTATTGAATGTAACTACTTAATTAATTGAAAATTCCTTCTATTTTCACTATAAAAAGGAACCATTACCAAGTACCTACAAGCACTTCAACTAATTATTAGTATCATAAATAATTGTTTGAGATGGCAAAATCAAGCAAATCTATTATATGTATGGTTTTTATCATGTTTGTTCTTTTTTCTCCATTAATTCAGGCAACACAAGAGCTATCATATGCACCTGAAGCATCATCACCATCAAGTTCAGTTAAATTATCTACCACGAGTCGTAATACTCGCGTTCTTGTTAAAGGTATGATAAATTTCATATTTTTCATGTTCTTATTCTTTTCGTTGATTAAAATATATTTAATTCTATAACTAACAATGTCTAACTTAAGTATAGATACAGACAGATTCAGAAATATTATTTAACATTTTTTCTCGTTATAAAATAAAATTTCTTTTTTTAATCTTTTATGTATATAACATACTGTTTTTGTGTATTTCAGGTTGCATTGGCGCATCAACGTGCAAAGGTGGTGATTGTTGCGTTTGTGATAAAGGCGCATGCATTCAATGTTGTCATTAATGATGTAACAAAATCATTCATATTTTAATTATATAATGAAATGATTGATTAATAACTATCTAGCATATTTATAGTTTTTTACCAATTGCCCATTTATATATTATATATCATAGCTTAAAAAGAAATTGTAAAATTTAAGCAAATACAGAACAAGAAATAAGGGTATATTTTATAAGTGTTATGAGAAATTAATGAAAATAAAAATAGATTATTTTGATTTAGCAAACTTAAATAGAAAATTTGATTGATGAAGGAACTCTTTTAAGCAATTTGAGAGAACTCCTTCATTTTTATTTTTATTTTAAATCTAAATTAAACTTCATACGGAATTTAATAAAATTTAAGTAACATAGAATTTTATTTTGTTGTCTTAAAATAAAGAAATGTAAAATATATCAAAACTTTATTTAATATTGGGGTCTTGAACATATCATATAGAAAATTAAAATTAAAGAGTTACTAAAAATATCCGATTTTCCCCTTGTATAATCTATTTTCTTATGTTTAGATGACTTAGGGTAGTTTGGTACAAATATTGATAATGTATGAATTAGTAACACATGCATTAACAATGCACGGATTAACAATGTATAAATTAATTTTTTATCGAGTGTACGTATGGTTCATTGCTTCCACTTAATCTTGTGTTTGATTTATAACTCTACCCAAAAAATTTCTATTATACACTTGTGTTATTATCAGTAGGGAATCACGTTGTTCACTTTAGATAGGTTATTGATTAAAATAAAAAACAAATGAATCTAGTTGATCTTTTAAATTTCTAAAATCAAATCAAACAAAAAAATAATCGTTGATTTGACTATTGTCGGTTTGAAAGTACTAAAATTTTTTAGGACAAACTTTTCTCGATAGACATGAACACTTGGTACGTGGATAACTCACATGAAAGTTATTGTCAATTTAATTAAGCACTACTAGAGTTATTATTACAGGAATAAAGTGATTCAATTAAGTGAAAAATGTGACTATCATATGTAAGGTAGAGTAGGTAAAGACTAAAATAAAAGGTTTTGATGGACTTGGACCTTGGATTGTAGCAATTGCGAATAGATTTGATTTTTAAACCATAATCATCAACAATCCTAATTATGAGATTGTTTATTTCATGTAATTGGATCAAGTTCAGATAGATGAAAATAATGTTATAATATATATATATATATATTACCACCAATGAGGGAAATACGCATTAAATTCCCTCCATCTTATTTCCCTCCATTTTTTAAAATTACATTACCCTATTTTTTAAGGCTTAAAGAAACCCAACATCCAGAGTAAAAATAAAATGAAATTTTCAGGTATGAAAGTGTCTACAATATGCAATTTTTGTCATTTATTGTTCGATAAGAGATCAACTAACTAGTGGTACTTCATGAATTTCAAAATGATCATTTTTTTAAAAAACAAATAAATAAGCTCTAAATAAATGGTGGCTCGGGAATAAAGGAAGAAAATAAAGAGAAGATGAAGAATTTTCTAAAAATGAATATATGGTTATTTGTGTGTGTTTTCCATACGTAACGATCAGGTTCCGTCGTTATAGAAAAGTCAACGGGGAATTTTTTTGGATAAAAACTATTTCATCGTAATTTGAAAATTTTCAATCTAATTCATATTTGAAAGAAACCAGAGTTATTGAGGTGTAGGATAATCTGGTAACAATTGGGTGATTTAATTATGATTTTGATTACATGAGGGAATAGATAACTCGTGTTATTATAAGTAGGGAATCACGTTGTTCATTTTAGATAGGTTATTGATTAAAATAAAAAACAAATGAATCTAGTTGATCTTTTAAATTTCTAAAATCAAATCAAACAAATAAATAATCGTCGATTTGGCTATTGTCGGTTTGAAAGTACTAAAAAATTTTAGGACAAATTTTTCTCGATAGACATGAACACCTAGTACGTGAATAACTCACATGAAAGCTATTGTCAGTTTAATTAAGCAATACTAGAGTTATTATTACACGAATAAAGTGATTCAATTAAGTGAAAATGTGACTATCATATGTAAGGTAGGGTAGGTAAAGACTAAACTAAAAGTTTTTGATGGACTTGGACCTTGGATTGTAGCAATTGGCTAAAATTTATATGTTGAGCTTGAGAAAATAGTAAAGTTGAAGAGTTAAGGTTAATTAAAATTTAACCAAAATATTCATATTTTATTTATGAATAATATATATATATATATATATATATATATATATATATATATATATATATAAATTATCGGTTGATTTGGTTATATTGCAGTTGCTTTTTAGTAAAATCAAAACCATATCAAATAGTATCGATTCTTAAAATTTAAAATCAAACCTAATCAAAAGTTGATATATCTTTAATCAATTTGAATTGCGATTAGATTTGATTTTTAAATCATAATCATCAATAATTCTAATTATGAGATTGTTTATTTCATGTAAAAGTAAGATTTTTACCTCGATGTTCAACTTTTCGATCCATAGTTTCTATTTTCTTGGGTTATTATCAATGGGGAAGAGTTTGAATTGGAAACCATGGTTGGAAAAGCCCTAGTTTGGATACTTGAGATCATATGTATGATCTACGATTGTTAGAAAATCCGAGTAATTAGTGATTGTTTATTGATTCTCGTATAATATTGATTGTTTGTGGACCAAGAACAAACGAAACTAATAATCCTAAAAAGGGAATGATCAAGATTCTTAGGTTTTCAAGCTTGTAATCGAGGTAGGTGATGATTGTGATTCTATGATTGTGTGATGTATGTTTGTACTTGCTTCATTATGATATATGTATGTATGTGAATGTTGCATTTTTCATCACACTTGTTGTCTATGAAATAGACGAATGACTATATGTCATGAATAACTTTTTGATTGTCTGATATTGATAATTTACTTGTGATTGTGATTGTGGTATGTTGAAGGGTTCGGTTGTCACGTTCCGACATAACTAATGGGATCAATTGTCACGTTCCAGCATAACTAACTGGGATAGGTTTTCACATTCTGGCATAACTATTGGATTGGATATCACGTTCCGGTATGCTAACAATTTGGGTTTGAATTCCATGAGAAGACCAACTACTTAACATAATTGCAGTATTTAAGAATTGTGAAAATGTACGTTGTTCATAAATGTTTATAATATTGTATAATTGGTATATGCATGCAAATATATTATGCCGCGTGTTCCTACCAGTACATTGTAGTTGTGTACTGATACTGCACTTGTTCTTATTTTTGTTGAGTACAGGGCATCTTCAGGCGGCTATTAACAGACCCCGCTTAGGATATCAGCGATCATTTCGAGTTAATGGGTGAGCTAGTTTTTCCGAGCTGCCTTGGATTTTCTTCTGTCTCTGTCCACATTTTCGGACATAGACTAGTTATTAGATGCTTTTTATATTGGTTGGGTTGTACCCATTTTCCTTTTAGACTTTGGTTCATTCTTTAGTTGTTTTGGTACATTCACGACTTTCTGGTATTTAATTTGCTTTCGTCATTTAAATGTCTTAGTTTGACTTAGTTGTTTGGTTTGAGTTGTAGTAGTGGTTCTCCCATCGAAGGATTAGTGTAGGTGCCAATCACGATGATCTGGATCGTGACAACAGATCAACTTTGATAAAGAATTAGGTATTTCATTTCAAAGTGATTCAGAGGGGTAATTTGACGATCTAATAAAGTACAAGTGTCGAATTAAATATTGATAATAAGTTAGCGGGTCATTTGTGTGGTTTGTCACAATTATTTTTCACATCTTTTTTTTCATCTTGGAAAATAATATTTATGACATGCAAAAATTTATGGCATAACTTTTTTTTATTAAAAGAAAACTCCTATCATAATTTTAAAGAAGTAAAAAACAATAAATATTGTTGAGGTAAGAATAGAGTGTGCATTTTAAAAAACTAATTGGCATATAGGGGAGAAAATGTCTATTTTTCAAAGTAGAAAGAAAATTTTAATTTTTAAAGTAAAATTTTAGAGTGATAAGATCTTTTTTAGTAGACATGCCAAAATTTATTTAGAGGCATTCTAATTATTGAATGTATCTACTTAATTAATTGAAAATTCCTTCTATTTTCACTATAAAAAAGAACCATTACCAAGTACCTACAAGCACTTCAACTAATTATTAGTATCATAAATAATTGTTTGAGATGGCAAAATCTATGATATGCATGGTTTTTATCATGTTTGTTCTTTTTTCTCAATTAATTGAGGCAACGCAAGAGCTATCATATGCACCTGAAGCATCATCACCATCAATTTCAGTTAAATTGTCTACCACGAATCGTAACATTCGCATTCTTGTTAAAGGTATTATAAATTTTATATTTTTCATGTTCTTATTTTTTTCGTTGATTAAAATATATTTAATTCTATAACTAAAAATTTCTAACTTAAGTATAGATACAGATTCATAAATATTATTTTACATTTTTTCTCGTTATAAAATAAAATTTCTTTTTATTTTTTTTATTTTTTATGTATGTAACATATTGTTTTTGTGTATTTCAGGTTGCATTGGCTCATCAATGTGCAAAGGTGGTGATTGTTGCGTTTGTGATTTAGGCGAATGCATTCGATGTTGTCATTAATGATGTAACAAAATCATACATATTTTAATTATATAATGAAATGATTGATTAACGACTATCTAGCATATTTATAGTTAGTTACCAATTGCCCATTTATATATTAAAAAGAAATTGTAAATATAAGCAATACAGAACAAGAAATAGAGGTATATTTTATAAGTGTTATGAGAAATTAATGAAAATAAAAATAGATTATTTTGATTTAGCAAACTTAAATAAAAAATTATGAATAACATATATATATATATATATATATATACGCGTATAATTATTTAAAATATGTGTCAAAAATCAAATTTTTAAGATAAATTATTATATATAATACAAAAATGTATTCATTAAACTAGAAGAAGTTTCTCCAAAAATAAATCATAGAAAAATATTAAAGAATAAGTAAAAACGTTAAATTATATCGCGATTGTATACTCTGATATGAGATGAGTGCAATTTAATTCAAGCTTTCGTTATGTATATTATAACTAGAGAGTGTATATAATTATATTTGAAATATCACATTTTCCGTTTATCAATTTTTAGTTACTTTTTTTAAAAAAAAATTATTTTCTCTTTGAAATAATAGTGAAGCCATAAATTTATTAATTACGTTCAAGATTTAATATATATATATATATATATATATATATATATATATATATATATATGTTTGACTAACCACCCTACACTATATGTGACTATGTTATAGCTTATACTTCATATATAAGCATGAATAGAAAAAAAAAGAAAAATGAGATTATGAAATTGAAATTGTATTTTTAGAATCACAGCCATAATGATATATTAAAGATTTGATAAAAATAAAAAATGTTCATAAAGTCATAAATGCTAACAATAACATGGTGAATAACAAATTATATCCTCTCTCAATTGATTATTTCATTTTAAAGTAATTCAGAGGCTTAATTAGACCACTTAAAGTATAACTGTCTAATTGAATTTTATAATCACTAATATTTTTCACCTTCTTTTTTTCATAATGGAAAATAATATGATTACGTTCTAATATTTAAAGAAGTAAAAATAATAAAGATTAAAAAATTAATTGGCATATAGAGGAGAAAATATCTATTGTTGTAAGCGGAAAGAAAATTTTAATTTTTGAAGAAAATTAGAGAGTGAGAGGATCCTATTTATTTGGTCAAATTGCCAAAAATTATTTAAGTCATCCTAATTATTATATGTATTTAATTACTTGAAAGTCCCTGTAATTTTTTCACTATAAAAAAGACATTATCAAGCACTTAGTAGTAAGAAAAAAATAAAACTCCTCCACGTATCATAAGTAATTGTTTGAGATGTCGAATTCTTGTATGATTTTTATCATGTTCTTTTTTCCTTATTTACACTCAAGCAATACAAGAGCCATCATCAACATCAATGGCACTTAAACTATCTACTATGAGTCGTAGTGCTCGCGTTCTTATTAAAAGTATATTGCTCGCGTTCTTATTGAAAGTATATTTATTTTAATAAATTTTATATTATAATTTTCTTATTTTTTTTGTTGGTTAAAATATATTTAATTCTATAAAGTAAATGTATAACTTAAGAATAGACATAGATTTAAAGATATTAAATAACTCGAAATCATATTCAGATTCGAAACGTTTAAATTAATATTTGATGTTCTAATTTAATATAATAATTTTTTTTGTCATTTTAAATTATAATTTTTTTGAAAATCTTTTTATCTTTTATGTATATGTACACAAATAATTTGTAAAATATAAACAATACAGAACAAAACACATAGAACAAGAGATATAAAGAAAATAATGATTGTCTCTTGCAATGGTTAATAACAATTATATTTATATGTTGAGAAATTATTTCATTAGTCACTATATAAAATATCCAAATTAATAGATATATTATTATCTGAAAATGGTCCATAAAACTAGGAAATATTAAGTAAATAAAAAATGGACTAATTCTAGGGATTTATAACATTTTTTGCATTTTTCTTTCTCTACAAATTAATTTGTTTTCTTCATATATTTGTCACAATCTAACCGTAGTTTCAGATTATGAACTTGTGAATTAGAACGGTTCGAAGGAAGAACAAAGTTGAACTTATGCCTTTTTGGAATTTAAAATTGTGTTTTTAAAAATTCAAAATAAATGTAAGCGAAAGTGAAATTTCTCCCCAAAACTATTAATTAAAACTAATTTTTGGAACTTGAAAAAAAATTATTTTGATAAATTTTTAAAATTCGATTAAAAAATTATGATCAAATAAATATTTTAAGATAATTTTGTAAAATCAATTCATAATTTATGATCAGACGCTAGAATAATTTATGAAAACAAGTTGTAGCATATTTTGCCAAATTATTTAGAAGCCTATATTATATTTTAGAAAGTTGTGTTTGACAAAAATGTTTGAAAAAGAAGCACAAATTGTTATTCAAAAGCTAAAAAATAATATAAAAATCTTCAAAGTACTTTAAAAAAAATTAGTCGAGCACTAACTATTATTTTAGTATTAGTATTTGAAAAAAATAGATGTGTGATAAATTCAGAAAATTATCACAATATTACAAATTTTACTCAAGTTCAAAGAGGGGAATGAAGAAACCTTACAATATTTACAAATTTTACAATATCTATTTTTTATCAAAAATTTATCATAAAAAATAATTATTTTTCACAGTCATAGCAAAAGAATGTTTGTGATACGAAAAAAATGAAGGAAGAGAAAAGACAGGGTAGCATGAAGGAGAAGGGTGGGGTGGAAAAAACTTGTCTCTTTTTTTTTTTTACTTAAACGCGCTTTTTTTTTATTTTTTATTTAATTCTATTTCCATGTCAAATTTTGAATGTAATATTAAATTCACTTTTAAAAGTATAAATATATTGGCTTCAATAATTTAAGCGTATAACTGATTTTTTGACGTAACGTCGAATAAATACATTCTCATTTAAAAGTGGTGTACATATATCCATGCCTTCTAACATTAATATATTTATTGAACCAAAGAGAAATCTTTAAATCTTTTTTAAAATTTTAAATTATGATAAGGAGTGACAAATATACATCATTTGTTAAATTGCAACAATAATATGTAACCTTTTTTTATTTTTATATATATAATAGTAATTTGAGTTAGACGTTTAATTTTATGTTTTTATCCCACATTTGAAATTTGAGAGAAAAATAGGGAACTGGGCTAAATGGTGGGAAGATAGTGCTTACAACCGCCTTAACTGTCACTACCCACAATCTCATTAAATAAACAAACAAAAAATCATCTGCAGCAAAAGTTGGAAAAAAAAAAACAGAGTAGTGATAATTTTTTGATCAGAAAGATTTGGTTTTTGTTAGTGAAAATGAGTGAGATAAAGAAAGGTCCATGGAAAGAGGAAGAAGATCAAGTGTTGATTAAGCATGTAAAGAAGTATGGTCCAAGAGATTGGAGCTCCATTCGATCCAAAGGTCTTTTACAGCGTACTGGAAAGTCTTGTCGTCTTCGTTGGGTTAATAAACTTCGACCCAACTTGAAAAAGTAAACAACTTTTACTCTGCTTTCTCTGTTTTGGGGTTTTTTTTTCTTGTTAGAATTGTAATGTTGCTGTCTTTTGTTTATTGGGTTGAGAAAATGTGGGAATTTCGTTGTTGCGTTGCTTGTGAATTGAGTTTTTGGGTTATGGGTTTGTTGTTTCTGCGAGTTTGATTTTGTTGAAATTGTGGGGTTGTTAAGAGTTTGTGGGATTTTCTGTTCTGTGTTGATGCATTTTCAATGAGGGGTGGTTACGTTTGTTTCTGCTTTCGAAATGCTCTGTTTTTCTTCTTAGAATCGTAAATTTGATGTCTTTTTGTTCATTGGATTGAGAAATAATGGGAATTTCTTGTTGCATTGTTTGCATATTGAGTTTTTGGGTTGTGGGTTTTGTTGTTTCTGATTTTGTTAAGATTGCAGATTTCTGTTCTGTGTTGACGCTTTTTCATCGAGGGGTTCCCCTTTTTTGAGGTTGGGAAATCAAGGGTTTCTTTGTTTCTTCTTCTTTTTCGTTCTTCGAATTTGCCAATTTGCTGGTGTTTTGTGTGAATGTTGTTCTATGGTGAAGTATTTCCATGGAGGGGTTTGTTGTTTTCCCTCTGTTTCTTTCTGTGATACCTTACTTGTTGTTGTTGTTGTATATTCACTTAAGTTTTTGTCACTTGATGGAGAATTTGCTGCTATACAACTGATTATCCGCAATGCATATCAGATGTTTGTTATTATGCTTAGTTCTAGTTTATGTTTCTGTAAAGTCGAAATGTATTTGATGAGATGAAGTTGATACCTTTTCTGTTGTGTTCACTTTCTTTTCTTTTGTGTGAGAAGTGGAGTGAAGTTTTCAGCAGAAGAGGAAAGGACCGTGATTGAACTTCAGGCACAATTTGGGAACAAATGGGCACGAATTGCCACGTATATGCCTGGAAGAACTGATAATGATGTCAAGAATTTTTGGAGTAGCCGGCAGAAGAGATTGGCTAAGATTCTACGAAACTCAGTGCCACAGCCTAGTAAACCACAAAAGAATATCAGCAAAGAAGCCCCTGATCTCCTTAAAGCTCCATCAGTAGAGGTAATTCACTATTCGTGCTCTCAGGTTTATCATCTTTCGCTCAAAATGGATTTTTTCTTTCATTAGATTTTCTTGCTTTCTCTTAGTTACAGAACTGATGTGAATTTGGTCTCTTTGGAATGTTATGTATTTGATAATGTTGTCGAAGAACAGACTGCTTTCATCGTTATAACGTTAAATGTTCATATTTCCAATCCAAACTGCTCTTTTTCCTTCCGCCTTTGTAAAATGTCTCGAGAAAAGGAAGGCCTGTGAGCCCAAAATTTGTGATTTCTGAAGAAATGTATCTTTTTCTGCAATTCTTTTGACTATCTTCTTCCTTAAATCTTTATAAATGATTTATGGTGTTTGAAGTCTCTTACCCCTCACCCATGTATGAGCACTGAATATGAGATGCCACTTTCAATGATGGACACCTGCCCTTGTGTTAAAGTAGCATCGAGTTTCGCTTGGAACAAACTTATCTTTGGACCTTGTACCCCTCAGCTTCTGCATTTGTAGTCAGTTTGTGATATAGCATGGTGAAAACTTCTTAAGATGATAAAGAAAGAAGCATTGTTTTAAGATAATAAACGACGATGATTATAGTGTTCTTACTCTTTCAACCAGTCAGAGTTGTATGGTTCATGGCTTTCACCAAGTAATTATCTCCATTGTTCTTCCCTTTCAACTTGTTGATAGGATTCTCTATTTGAATTTTCAGGAACCTAAACTGAACTCATCTGCAGATGAAAGAGCTTTGGTCGTGTCCCAGCATTGCTCATCATCCTATACGAATAACTTTGACACAATCAACATGGTCCCATTGCCAGAGCTAGTGAACTCAACTTCACTTCCTTTTGATCAAGAACTGCCTCCACTTGAGTTCACTCCCAGTGAGAAGAAAATTTGCATCTGGCCGCAGTTCCCGCTCCCTTTTCCTCACATTCCAGTCCAAACCAACTTTGGTCAACCACTTGAACATCAAGAATTACCCATGAAACTCGAGGATAGTGACTTCTTAGATTATTTTGGGCAGCTCAGTGCTTCCGACCTAGGAGGAAATGTGCAAGTCCCTCTTGCTCCTTCGTGTTCATCAGGACAAGATCAGAGAAGCTCTGAGATTGGTGTGAAGAGAGAAATGGCTGAGATTGGTGTGAAGAGAGAAATGGAGTACCCCCTTACCCCAGATAGCTTCATCAATGACTTCCCCTTGGACATGTTCGATTATATTGATCCACTGCAAAGCCCATCTGGTTGGTGATTAGTCATTTTCAGATAGGAAGAAAGGAAATTGTTACAGAATATGTAGTGATCTATGCAATATGATTGTCATAGTAACTTTTCTTTGTATGAGACAATTTGACCTAGTGCCTAACTGTTTCTAACAGCTTTTCATCTACTACATTCACTACCTTGTCTTCTATAACATCATGCTTGGAAGATTTGAGTAGTGTGACTTTTGTCAATTTTGAGAAAAATCAATAATGATCGTAATCCAATCTATGTGATTAAAGATATCTGGATAGTAACAAGTAATTAGTTGATTGAATATGTACTATGAAATTATGTTCCTCTTATAATGTGTAATGTTGTGCATATACTGCATTTTTCATTTGTATTTACCCAAAAAGAAACTATGTGCATATACTGCATTTTTTCATTTGTAATTACCAAAAATTCAAAATAAGAAAATAAAAATATTTTTTTATTCTATCGCCACTCCCATCCCCACCCATCATGATAATAATACAATTAAAAAGAATATGAACATGTAAGCTTATTTTAAGTTTTAGTCCCTCATGTCTCAATTAAGAATAAGTGATTATAAAAATAGAAATAAATAAGATAATTGGATACTTGTTTAGAAAAAATTACATTAATAAAAACAATACTTTTTTTACATGGACAATCAGATGGAGCGAGTGTTGAAGAAGAAGGAGGCTGGTGATGGAAACATATCAAAGGAACAAGTCGAATGCATATGACTAATGTGTCTACAACAAGTGTTGATGAAAAATTAAACTGACGATTAGAACATGCCAAAAGAACAGGACCAACGAAACTGGCTGACGAGTTTACAACACTATTGTTGAATTTGAGTTGCACGTGGATTAAACTGCTTATGTTAATTAAGATTATATTACGACTATGATTAGATTACGATTAGGATTATAGTACAACTAGAATTAGATTATAGTTTTGTTGAAGAAGAAGGAAGCTGACAATTGAAACATGTTCCAACTACCAACTTCCTTCTTTTTCAACAACGAGTATCAATTTTAGTTGAATCCTCAGTAATGTGTTGGTTATAGCAAATTGGGAGTTGATTTAGATAGACTAATTGAAAGATATCATGAAATTATTTAATATTATTTTCAAGCATATCGAATCAAAATATGAATCATATGTGATTTCTACTATTTATTCTAGAAGAGTTTATATTTGTACCAATCATATTAGACGACATAAAAGTTTATTGATTTTACCTCAAGATAACTACTAAAAATAAGAGCAAATGTGAGTCAAAAAGTTAATATCAACTATTTTTTTTAGATAAAAAAATTGATGTAAAGGTATTTGATGCCGAAAAGTGAATGAAGAATAATTTTGTACTAATTCAAATTATGGGTGTACAAAACTGAATAAAAAATCGAATCAAATTGCAAATCAATTCAAATCAGAAAAAATTCGACTAGTGGTTAGTTTGACTTGATTTGGTATTGTAAAAAAACTCAATCATATTTGGATTGGTTTGGTTTTAACTAATAAAAAATCAACCGTACCCAATCCAACATTGTATATATAATTTAAAATTTTTGTTTTATACATAAAAATATTTGCTTTTATATAATCTTAAATATTTCTTATACTTTTTTTTAAAAAAATTATCTTTTCATATATTATTTCAAATTTGAAACTTAAAATTTTCAATGGTTCCATAAAGATTATAGTCCACAGATATTGGTAATTACAATAAAAAATTAAATCAAAATCAGATTATTTCTAATGCAAAAAGAAAATTAATATAACACTAAGAATGACAACAATATTGAATATTTGTTCTTTGATTTTACGTCGGTTTAGACAACTAAAATATATAATCTAATTTTAATTTCCTTCAATATTTAGTCTATAACTAATACTTATTAAACTAGTTTTAGTATGATATCAATATTTAGTCTATAACTAATACTTTTAAATTATGATCATTTTCTTTATGACTTGTTAATGCAATATCTTTTTACACGTTTTTATTATTATTATTATTATTAAATATTTTAGTGTCATTAATCATATCATATTTTGTGTTGTTTCTTAAGAAACACAAAACCCTAAAAATCCGAAAATATCCAAAAAAGAAAAACCCGAGGTTGAAATACCCGAGTTTTATTGGTTTAGTTTGGTTCATAGATCTAAAAATTCGACATAAATAATTTGATTTGATATTTGAAAAATTCGAACCAACTCGATCACATATATCCCTAATTCAAATAATTGAATGACATTTTAGACCATTTTCCATGTGATCTTTATCCTTTTACTAGCCGTGATTAATAAACATTAATCATTGTTTAATAATTTTAAAGTCTGAGTAATATCGTTGTAATATAATTTGACCTTGTTGTTGAATGTGACTTTCTTGGCTAATTTTTATCTGTGGCATTGTTATTTATTATTATTTACCCTTTTCAAGTCATGATGGTTAATAAACATTAATTGGCTTTGAAAAAAAATCGAAGTATGAATAAAACGTTGTAAAAAGATTTGACCATGCTGTTGAGTGTTGAATAGCCTTAATGGCTAATTAATAATTAAATATGTTGGCATTGTTATTTATTTTATCATTTATCCTCTTTTATAAATTGAGTTGTATATTCATACGTATTTTTCTCTCGTGATAATAGAAAAATAGATAAACACTCTCCATTCTTTCAATCTTTAATCAAAATTAATCTTTATAAATATCTATTTCACTATGTAAGATGAAATCATGATTAAAATCATAAAAATGACACAGTACAATTTGTTTTCTTTTATATTATCTAACCTAAACATGTTTCAAATTTATAAATTGACGTAACCATTTATATCGCCGAACATTTACGATTAATATCGAATCTATGATATTATTATTTTCTTCTTCTTTTAGTTTTTTTTTCCCGCTATTCACATTTAAAATGAATAAAACACAATTATCTTTTAATCTACACATGTTAAAATCAACATATCGTTTAGACATTATTCATAGGAAAGGAAACAGAGAGGTTAAGGTACCTCTTGTTCAAGTCGAATTGAATGAGTAAGTAGCAAGTAAGTGAGAAGTGATCTTTACAATAAAACATCATCACGTAACGAATATAAATCCAATCACAGTAAAACGAAAACTGATGACGTTTATTGATTCTTTTTCAAACACGAAAAAGATAATACAACCATACATGCATAACGAAATTGTAGAAAATGTCCTTTTGACTAAAAACGATTGAGATGTTTCCGTTTGTAGACTACTACTCTGTTTAATTATCATATAATTAAAATTGCCTAGGTATATACTCTCTTAGCCAAATACATCCTGGTTCCATTGCAAATTTTGCTTCTTTTCCTTGCAAAAGCCAAGCACAAATAGATGAGCTTTTGAACACAATTTTTCCAAAATTGGCTCTGACTCCTCCTTTGTGGTATACATAAACACCACGCACACTACCTGGTCCAAACATCCCATACAAATAGCTAGTACAGAAAAAATATATATATATATATTAGTGAAAATTAATAAAGAAATACGATGTACACGACGATTCAGAATTTATAATTTACATGTTCTTATACCTTTCAAAGAAATCAAATATATCTTTCTTAGAGATGGGATGAGCAGTCAAGGTCATGAACACAGAGCGATGCGCCGCATGAGCTCTTATGGTTGGATGCCATTCTTTAGCCAAAGGGTTTAGTTTAGAGTCCAATGGTGTATTCATTTTCACATAAGAATCATTAAAATTATCACAACAAATCATATCATAGATCAATGAAACTTGTTTGTTCAAAAGAATTTCATCAAGAGAAGAGTTCAAACATTGAGAGGTGAGTGGACAAACATCTTGAAAAGTTGACGATGAGCTTGATTCAAAAAATGTTAAAATGCTCTTAGCTTCAACATAGAGATTTTTAAAAACCATTTCATCACAAGTAGCAATTTTTTCATAAAAATTGTTAAGTTTGTAGGTTTTCAGAAACATCCAAACAGACATCACTTTTCTGGATAAATCAATTTCAAAATTCATAGACATCATTTTGTTGAAGATGTCTTTTTCAGTGTTGTTGACATGTAAGAAAATCATAATGTTAAATTAAGTTTGAAAACAAAGAGGTTTAAGAATAATGCACCTCTACTACACTATATATAGAGAAAAATAAATGTACACTTTATGTTTTTTTTTCGAGTAGTTAAAATTAAAATTTAATAATTCAATAAAATTGTCAACTCTTGTAATTTTTATTGAGTAAATTTCATTCATAGTCATTCATTTTTGTGTTTATGATACACAAGTCACTTTTCTATTTAGTTATATTTATTGTCACATGAACATCACTTTACTCCAGAGATTATTAAAAAAAATTATATCACGTAAAATTCATCTATCTTTAACATTATCACATAATTTATTTACTTTTTTTATATAAAAAAAATTGTCACAAAATCATTTAAGTTTGTTATTTTTTCTAGAAGTGTATTTTTTTGATTAATTTAATCAAATGTGTTGTCTAATGAGGATTGCACTTGACATTCAGTTTTTAAATCACAATTCTTTTTTTAAAAAAAATTGTTTAGCTAATTTTTGTTTCTTTGGTTGAAAAAATGAACAAATGTATAACTACAAGTTGCCTCTTAATTTTACAGATAAAAGTGAACTGCAATCTACTTAATGACCTATTTCAACTTTCATGCTACTAATTAAAAATTATTGACCTATTTTATTGGAAGAGCAAAAAAGTCATTGAGTCTTTTCACAGAATTTATATAATTTATCTATAAACTAATAGTTTAAATTCACTTTTGAAATTGAGAGGACTGTTCTTTGAAAACTTTGTAATTATAAAAATGCGAGAAATAGTTAATATTTTTATTTATTGCTTTTGTGTTTTAGTTTGATTTTTTTTAATTTATATCTTTGTCATACATCAGATCTTTTCTAATCATACACAAATATTATACTACGTTTTATTTATTTATTTACATTTTAACATTTTTATTTGTTTTATATGGATATGTATAATCACGCAAAATGCGACTTTGTTAATCAGTGAATACATAAAAATTATGTAGTGATTTGTACCTAAGAAAATGCTATATA